GATCACCGGTGGACTCCAGCAGTAGAATCTGCAGAAGTGTGAACAAAGGGCAGGCTCTCAAGAGGTAGAGCAGGTGTCAACACTCCTCTCCCAACCTGCCGATTCAACCCCTAGCTCTGACCCTCGCCCATCGCCATCCTTTGAAAAGAAAAGCCTGGTAAAGTGAAGCAGCTCTGTGTTCTCTGGGCCTGATGGCTCTCTCTCACTCCTTCCTTATTGGACATGGGGCTGTAGAGGAAGGCTAGCTTTTTGTCTTCATTTCTTCTCCCATCTTATGGGGAGATTCATCCCAAAGGACGAATCACAGATAGAGCTTTTAGGAAACACGGTGCTGAGCTTGGGAAGGCAAGAGATTCTGGGAATACGGGGCCATATATGTATAAGAGGGAGGGATCCCTCCACTTAGAGGCCCTTGCAGCCCTTCCAACATATAAACTTGACTTGAAGTGAACGGATAGACGGAAGGGTGTACATCAAGAAAAACAAAGACAAAACGCACAGCCCCCCATCCTGGTACCACACCAGCTCCACATGGTGTTCTAGGACGCGTCACTCCAGCTGCGGTCACTCCAAGGCATGGAGCCTCGTCCCTGACAAGTGTGTCCCCGGTGGGGGCTACAGCATTGGCTGAAATCGGGATAGGATCATTAATATGTCTGTGTGTTCCATAGGTGGGCAGGTGGATGCCAGGGCTGGAGCAATTATTGTGGGAAAAAAAAAAAAAGACAGATTCTGGAGACAGACTGGACCTCTTACCTCTGTACTGTTAACTCCTTTCCATTTCTTTCCCCTCAGTATTCCCAAATTATATATACTTGGCCATGGGATTTTATTTTTTACAGGCATTCTTTTTAAGTTTTTATTTATTTATTTTGAGAGAGACAGAGACAGCGTGAGTGGGGGAGGGACAAAGAGAGAGGGAGAGAGGGAATCCCAAGCAGGATCTGGGCTGTCAGCACAGAGCCTGACGCGGGGCTCAAACCATGAAACAGTGAGGTCATGATCTGAGCTGAAACCAAGAGTCAGACGCTTAACCTACTGAGCCCCCAGGTGCCCCTTTATTTTTGTCTGTGTTTCATTCGCCACGTGTTAAGTAGACGTGAAGCATGCCGACCAGTGGGCAAGAGCCACACAGATCCATGACGTGCTCTTCACCATACAGCCTCTGTGGCTTCCCCTTTCTAAATGGAGCTTGGATCCCAGTTAGGTCAGGGCAGTATGATGACATCCTTAGAACTTCAAGACTCAGGAACTTTATGTAAGAATCCAGTGGAGTCAGCGTGTCATTTTGAGTCTCCAGGCCCACCCTACAGGACAGGATCACTGCTCTGCTCCCAGGTCCCTATGCTCCCTCTTTGTTGACAGTGGTGGCCAAAGCACTGGGTCATGGCGTCTGGGATGTCAACTCCCTCTAAACAAGCCTTCACGGCGGTCTAGGACCGGGGCTGGTGTCTATATTCTGACATCCAGGAATGGCTCCTTCATTATCAGACCCTTTTGCTAGTATATACAATATTGTTAGAGCTGAAACCAAGGCTGGGCCTCCAGGGAGAACCCTCAGATCCACATTGCCTAACTGGCTTCCCAAGGGAATCTCCACCATGTGTTGGTAAGTGAGGAAGGCCACTTACGGGAGCTATGGTTCAGGGATCATTCCTGCTGCCACTCCCATTGCCACAATTGCTTCTTGACATCCATGGATCCGGTGACCAGACACTGGCGTGCTGTTGCAAGAGGAAAGCCATTGCCCACCCCAGCTGCTCCTGGCCGGAGCGTTTATGACCTCGCAAGGCATCAGAAAGCATCAAAGAAGCAGGAAGGTGACTTCTGTCTCCTTACTGCCTCCCAGATCTCTCCAGTTCATCTAATTAGCAGAATCAAACTCACATCTGGCCTCCTAGCTGCAAGGGTCTGATAAATGTGGTTTAAAAATTTCTGGCCACTGCAGTATAAGAAGGAGTTTAAGATGGATGCTAAGTGCCAAACCACCATATCTTCCTTACATGATGAGAAAAAGTATTGAATACTTATAGTAAATTTTCCAGATTCTCTAAACGGCTCTAGCTTAACATTTATTTAATGACATTTTAAAAAGTCTGGTGTCTCTGCAAAACTGATGCACATAAGGGAAGGGAAACAAAAATAATATAAAAACAGGGAGTGGGACAAAACAGAAGAGACTCATAAATATGGAGAACAAACTGAGGGTTACTGGAGGGGTTGTGGGAGGGGGGATGGGCTAAATGGGTTAGGGGCATTAAGGAATCTACTCCTGAAATCATTGTTTCACTATAGGCTAACTAATTTGGATGTAAATTTTAAAATATAAAAAATAGGGGCACCTGGGTGGCTCAGTCAGTTGAGCATCCAGCTTCGGCTCAGGTCATGATCTCACGGTTTGTGAGTTTGAGCCCCGTGTCAGGCTCCGTGCTGACAGCTCAGAGCCTGGAGCCTGTTTCGGATTCTGTGTCTCCCTCTCTCTCTGCTCTTCCCCCACTCATGCTCTGTCTCTCTCTCTCTCTCTCTCTTTCTCTTTCTCTCTCTCTCAAAAATAAATAAAACATTTGAAAAAATTTAATAAAATAAAATAAAATTAAAAAAAATTTTTCAAAGAAAAAAAAGTCTGGTGTCTCTGAAAACTATGGGCATGTCCACATTTGCCAAGATTCCTCTTAATCATCCAGAGGGTGGCTTCTCTCCACCAGCATCACCATTGCCAAGTTCAGAAGGCTTCTCATCCACTAGGAGACTGTCTCCTAAAAAAGAGTGATCTAGTTTCGTTCTTTCCACTTTTTAAGTTATAGAGATAATAAAAAGCATTATTTAGGTCTGAAAAATACAGTAAAAATACCTATAATCCTATGTCACTATCACAATGACCACTTCACTCAGTCCATGTGCATATTTACATCTTTGTAAATGTCATCTTTATATAATTTTGTTTTGTTTCTTCACTCAACATTGTATCATAATCGCTTCTCATCTTATGGTGTAATGTAACCACAATTTTTAATGGTCCCATAATAGTCCACTAAGATACAAATTATAGTTTACTCATCCATTCCTCTCTAGTGGAACATTTCAGTTGTTTCCAATTATTTAGTACTATAAATAATATTTTGAAGGGGAGCTTACGCATATTTAAACTTTTGTGGCACATTGCCAGAAGGGACAATGGGTCAAAAATATGTATTGGTTAAAAAGTATCATTTAAAATTCTTTTAAAAAATTAATTTTATTTCAGAGAGAGAGCGCGAGAGAACATGAGCAGGGGAGAGGAGCAGAGAGAAAGAATCTTAGGCAGGCTCCACAGCGCAGAGCCCGACATGGGGCTCGATCCCCGCACCCAGGGATCATGACCTGAGCGGAAATCAAGAGTTGGTCATTCAACCGACTGAGCCACCCAGGCGTCCCCAAAAGTATCATTTTTAAATGAGTATCAACAGCTTTTGATGAACGTTTCTTAAAAATCACCTACAGTAAAAACAATTTTTTCTCTGGCGATCACTAAACAAAGAGCTTGCTTCTTCTACCTATGACATCCTTAGCACTCATCTTGGGGGCTACTACTGGCTGCTACCCAAAATGGGAAACTGGTGCCCTTGGCCTTGAAGTCTTCATTGACAATACTCACATGGCTGTACCTAAAACCCCTGGGGGGGGGGGGGGGGGGCTGGGTTGCTGTGACCTGAATCTTGGAACCAGGGTGAGGGCAGAGTCGGTGCAGATCTTCAGGATCTCCCCCACCCTTTCCTATCTCTCAAGGCACAGCTTTCCTGACCAGAAGGCTTCCCGGGATAAGGTGTCTGGTGCTTCACAAGTGCCAGGTCTTAAGCCCCAGAATGAGCACATTTAGATATGCAGATGCCATGCTTTCATGGAGGCTTCCAAAGACAGGTCATTCTCCTACTCTCTGATTCCTCCCCTTCCCCCAGACAGAGCAAGACAACATTGTTTGGTTGAAATAAAGCAGCCTGGTTACACTTGAAGGAGTCCGTTTCGGATGAGTTTAAGAACCAGGAGAGCAGAGTCTTAAAAGGCAGGTAGACGCGATGCTGCAAGATATTACTCGGGGCCCCTCTGCACCCCACCCAGAGATCAGCCTCTAAAGACCTTCCAGGCCTGTCAGTCTTGAGGAAAACGTGCTGAAAGGCGTTCTGATGACTACCCATGCCTTGATCAGTCCAGGGCAAGGTGGCGTTAGCCTCTTCGTGAGAATAAGAGAACAAATTTACCTGTATATTACGTGTTTCAGTGAGAGAAAAATTTTTGATGAAATGGGCGCTCTCCCCAACAAAGCAGCTTAGCACAGGCCCTTGAGTCTAAACTCTGTCACCTCCACGGTATATGCACAAAAGGAGGTGGTGCTCCAGTGACACCGCGCAGTGCGTCCTCATTTCTAGAACTTCACTCCACACACACACACACACCCGCCCCGGGTGCCCCCCTCCCCCATCCGGCCATCATAACTGCTCCATAGATGGCATCCACAGGAACTGCCCCCACTCCAGGCCTTAGGAATGCCAACGCGTGCTGAGTAACACTGTTTGCAAAACTCCGGGCTCTGGGGGAAGATTGCCCGTTGTTCCTGATCTCCCTTCAGCCCTGGGCACGTCCCTCTTGCGGTCCGGCTGACGCTGCCCAGTGACCACCCGCCCCCCTCCGCCCTGCCCGCCCGCCCGCCCCAAGGGCAGCAGCAGCAGCAGCAGCAGCACCAGCAGCAGCACCCTGGAGGTAGTACAACTTCCCGGGACACCCCCATGTCTTCTCTCGCCCCCGTCCGGTTGCTTGGAAATTTGCACTGGACAGTGACGTCACACAGGAAGGCGGGTCCCCACTATCCCGTACACCAATGGCGGGGCCGCGGCTGGCCTCTTCTTTTCCAGCGATTGGTGTCTGGGGCCCCTTTGCTCCACCCCAGCCCGCCATGGCGTCAGGCGCCGCAAAACCGGGGAGGTGGTTCCCACTTTAAGAAGTGAAGTTTTTCGCCCCCTCCCCCTCCCTGCCCACCTCCTGCAGCCTCCCGCGCCCCGCGGAGCTGGCGGATGGAGCTGCGCCGCGGCGGCGTAGGGAGCCAGGCTGTGGGGCGCAGGATGGATGGGGACAGCCGAGATGGCGGCGGCGGCGGCGGCTGCAAGGACGGCGGGTCGGAGGACTATGAGAACCTGCCGACCAGCGCCTCCTTATCCACCCACATGACAGCCGGAGCGATGGCCGGGATCCTGGAGCACTCGGTCATGTACCCGGTAGACTCAGTGAAGGTGAGGCGCGAGAAGACTGTAGGCACGGAGGGCGCAGAGAGGGGAGCGTGCGCGCGTGCGTTTGCATCCCGCGCAAGAGCAGCCTGGGGGAGCGCCCCGAAAACACCTCTCCTCCGGGCTGTGGCGGGCGTGGGCCCGGCGCCCCGGCTCTCGCGGCGAGCGCGCCACTCCTTCCGCCGCGCGCCGGGGCCCCGGGGGGCGCCCCTCTGCCCACGGGGGTGCTCCCGCCGGCGCCCCGCACCGCAGCCTCCGCCGCGGGCTGCTCGCGGCGCTGCGGTGGGGGGAACTGGCGAGCGCCCCTGCTCTCGGCGGCGGCGGCGGCGGCGGCGGAGTGCCCGAGGAAGCGATCGCTGCAGCTCTGCACAGTCTTACCACGTCTGCCCACGCGACCGTAGGGCTCGGGGGGTCCCAGCTCTTCGTGGCTCCCGCCGGCGCGCCCCCTGTCCGAGCCGCGGCGAGAAGTGTCCTCTGGTCCGTGCAGGGCGGCGGCCAAGGCTGCCCACACGTGCGCAGTTTCCGAGGGAGCTCGCCGCCGGGAAGCGCTAACCACGCTGGCGCGGAGAAACGTGGCTCCGGCTCGGCCGCGCGCCCTCTGGCCCGAGTGTGCTTCTGCTCCTGCTCCTGCTCCCCGGGTTTCTGGGGAGGCGTAGGAGTGGTAGGGGTTCTCTTGGTCCTTAGCAGCTCTCTTGGAGATACCGGTTCAGCGACGCCCTTAGGTGATCCCCTTCTCACGGGGTTTCTGCACCTCTTCCCCAGGAGTTCGGGCAGCTGAGCAGCCTAGAGGCAGCGAGCCCTGCGTTGACATTTGCCTTCTCTTTTTGTTGCAGGGAGGCGGGCAGGCAAGGAGAGCGTGAGCTCTACCACTCTTACTGTGGGTTGTGTAATAGGCACTCGGTTTACCCGTCACTTCCCCAGGTAGTTTTACATGCATTTCTGCAAGGAGGCAGCGTTAGCCAGGAGTTTTCCTGTTAGACCGAGAGCTGCCTTCTGTCCGCCTATCCAGGACACCGAGTGGCAGGAAGGTAATACGGGTATTGACACCTTGCACTTTTGTAAGCATAACTCCACTAATTCATCCAGCAACCCAGGGATTGACAGATGAAGAAACTGAGGCAAAGAGATAGCGAACTGATTAACCTACCAGGCTGATACTCCACCTGCCTCCTCGGACTCCAGCCCCAGTGTGCTTTGGTGGCACTTATCTTGAAAGGCAGGGCTCACAGCGCTCCCTCACTGCAGCTGTTATCTTCTTGCTGATGCTGGCCCCACACTGGAGGTGTGAGGACCAGAATGTCTGACTCAGAGGGTTTTCCCTGCACTGGACAGCTCTCCTAGAGCTAGCTGTCAGTGGACAGATAGACACCAATGCAGTGAGAGAAAGCGTGAGCCTTTGAGGAAAGGTGAGGTCCAAGCCTTTAACTGTGCCGCTGAGCCTGAGCCATCACACCTTTGGCTCGTCCAGCATCCCAGCAGGGAATGAAGGGCATGGTCCTTGCTGCCAGGGTTATGGAGGGCAGCGGGGAGATCTTGCCTCTTAGGCTTTCGAAGCTTCTCCAGGGAAGACCCTGGACAGATACCAGGTGGCATTTGTATAGCAAAGAATCCCTCACATGTAATAAAATTTCCCATATTTGAAGCTGTTGTCTCCAGTGCCTTTGGACAGAGTATCTAAAAAGTTAGGGGCAGGGAGGTGTTATTGGAGCAGGCACCAGACCCACAGCATCTCAGAGATGAACGTTCTATCGAGGAACTCTACCGTTTCAGAGATTTTGCGGAGTTTGCTTTAGCGCATCACTGTAGCTTATCTTTAGGATTAGAAATAATTAGTCATGCCTTTTCAACTCCCTTTTCAACACCCTAAAGAGGCATTTGTCTTACATGTTTAAGTTGTGTGTTCTGTTTAGTTTTTTCCCTGCCCCTCCTCCTGCCCTGTAGACGTTGTCTGTTTGGCTACAGATGTCACTGTGTACTTAGTGTTACTTTACTTAGCAGTTTTCACCTGTGGATAGAGGTAACAGGGTGCATGCGGTAGCTGGAGCTGGTCTGGCTGTCCTAGATAAGTCACTCGCCTTACGGGGCTTGACTGTACACTGAAGGCCTGGGTTAGCTAATCATTAAGGAGTTCTTCTGTTTTTTAGCATGCAGGTTTGCTTTTAGAGCACCTCGCTTTTCACCACCACTTTCCCGGAAACGGGTAGCGAGGATTATTCTTTTCATATTTCAGCTGAGAAAAAAGGCACAGAGAAAGTTAAGTGGCATGAGTCATCGCATGAGCCCAGGGGAGGCTGCAGCAGAGTGCCAAGGTCTGCCAAGATCAGCAGAATTGTCCGTGCCCAGCATGACGTATCAGGGATGCGTCCATGCTTCAGTCATGGAAAAATGCTCCATTTGGGGAGACCTCGACTGTGTGCTTAAATGTTTTGGGTGATGGAGACTGTGAGTAATGGAGTCAGAAGCCCTAGGTCGGGTTTGCAGCCCTGCCCCTAACTTGCTTCATGACTTAGGCACTGTTCTGTGCCTCAGTTTTGTCATTGGAAAGTGGGGGCAGTGGACCAGTTCAGTATGTCTCCCCATTCTTAACCTGTCCCCCTTTGTATGTACACAGAACACCCATCGTCCTCCTTTATGATACTTGACATTCCCAATAATTATCACAGTTGAAGCCAAGTCAGTGTGAACTGTAGGTTGGAAGAAAACGTTTTCTTTAATTTTATAAGGCACACAGTTTGAACTTTGATCATGTGACGTTAAGTGAGAGTATCGAGTGGGTCTGCTTTTTCTAGTTTTTCTGTCCTAGATGGTGGGGATCATGGAACCTGGTGCTGGCCGCTTTCACCACTGAGCCTGTCCTCCTTGCTTTTGTGGTCACAGGGGCAGAAGGCCAGCCTTACTAATGCCTTAAAGTATTATGTTCACTATGCCTTCTCAT